ATTGGTCAATTTATCAATCATCTATCTATTACTTATCCACCAACTTATTTATATATCTATTAATAGCTGAGGATGTATAATCATATGTAGATTTATTAACATGCATTAAGTTTTCAGTGTAGTACTGTACATTAATAATACCAAAAACAAGATAATAAGGATATATTTAGGGAAAACACTTAAAATTTCTGACAATTAGAATGCTGGCATCTTTAATTTTTCATTGGATGATTAGAAGGGGCTTTTGATTGTTAAAAAGTGCATGCTGATTATATGATAAATGATCAAAGTTTACTGACAATTGATGTCTTTTTCAAATAAGTCATTTATTTTAAATTACTGCACAAAACAGTATTTTATTCTTAGGTACAACCTATTATGAGCTGTAAGCCCAAATGACACACCAAGATATGTCCAAAGTTTAATTACAAATGAACGCTTTCAAAAATAAAAGAAATTAGTAACTGAAAGTCAAATATGTGTTACTATACAGGCAGCTAAAAATGGAAAGAACACTGTTATTGGATTGTTGGCAAGTGAATACAAATTGGGAGACAATTGTTCACCTGCCTTCATTTTATCCCACATACAATGAAGGCTACATCCTTGACCTCAACTTTCCCAAAATGGAAAGGAGACTAATTAGTATTTGTGAAGAGTTTATAATACCTTGGCTTAGAGACAAAGAGTGATAAATGGCAACTGACACTGTGTCATTTAATTTTAGTAATAAATTTAAAAAGAATTTTTACCAAAAGGATAACTTCTATCCATGTGGATGGAATAATTCAAGGATGATTCAGAAATAGATCTGCTGATTTTCTTCCATCCTCTAGGAAAGCAGGTTTTCTTTTCTCTTCACTTTTACCCTGGAGAAATATATGCAACCTCGTTTCCTTTTTACACAGAGGGAACAAATATTGAAGCATGATTTAAAAAGAAAATCAGAAAAAGCTGTAATACAAGATTATGTTGAATGTTGTTTGAGCACTGATATTATTCTCTAGGGAGTTGCTGTCTAGACTAACGCTGTGTGTTTCCTGAGGATTTGATGTAAAGTTAAGTTGGGGCAGAGGTTCTCAAACTTTCACAAGCATTTGGGTCACCTGCAGGGTCTGTTAAAACAGGTTTCTACAGTCCTTAAGTCCAGGTAGGGAACAAAGAATTTATACTTCTAACAAGTGCCAGATGATGCTGATGCTGCTCTCTGGGAACCATAATTTGAGAAAGAACCAGTTAGGAAATTCTGTGGTTTCCAAACCAGAGTCCATGTGATTCCCCCAGGGAGCTTTGGTAAGAATGCAGATTCCTGACCCAGACTGGGGTCTGCAGGATCAATGTCTCCAGGACACATGGTTTAATAACCTGCCCTGGTTTTAAGCTCATCAGGTAGCCTTGACACACAGGTCCAGAAGCTAGTGAATCCAACCACATCATTCAGAACTACCGCGTCAGGAAGCCAAGGGCTGAATCAGGTCTGACACTCCTTTCACATGCCCAGAAGTTCTGCCTCGCTTATCTGTGATGATCTTCTGCCCCCAGGCTGGTGAAAATGCCATATCCCATGCTTTAGTGAAGACTGCCATCATCAGTTCCTAAGAAAAAGACCTTTTTATTAGGTCTCTCTATGAAGAACCATGGTATATGTGCTAAGTCACATCAGTTGTGTCCGACTCTACGACCCTGTGGACTCTAGATTGCCAGGTTCCAGTCGATGGGATTCTCTGAGCAAAAATAACAGAGTGGGTGGCAACCCTCTCCTCCAGGGGATCTTCCCAACCCACGGATCAAACCCGGGTCTCTTATGTCTCCTGCACTGACGAGTGGGTTCTTTACCAATAGCACCACCTGGAAAGCCCTCCTTGAAGCACCTAAAGCATGAAAGAAGTAGTATAACATACACAGTCTAAAAACACAGATTCTGGAGTCTGACTACCTGGGCTTGAAGGGAGTCATCATTCACCAACTGCAGTAACCTTGGACAAAGTTTCAAACCTTCTCTGGCTCAGTTCTCCTTTTATAAAATGGGATCATAGGCCCTCCCCATTCAGAACCAACTTAAATGGAACAGGCAAAGAACCTAGGCTATAATAATGCCTGATGTAATTTAATTTTTAACGTAACTTTAAAATTTATGATTGGATGCTATTAAGTAGTTTTAGCTCAATATAACTTTTGAAATAATTTTTTCTGCAAGAGAATATGTTCTTTCAGTGAGTTATTATTCCTGCCCTCCAAGTGCCATTCAAATACAGACAGGGCAACCTCTAGAGAAGGGTATTTTAGACGTGGTCCATGGCTAGATGAGCGACAGTAAGGTATTTCAAATAACCCAGAGAGAGAGAGAGAGAGACGAGAGACAGAGATCTAGGAAAGAGTCTGAGGATAATTTTTCAAACTCCTGGCTGAGTGGGTGCTGTGTCCTTTTTGGCTTGTCCTACATCCCCTTGCTGTTCAGACTATTTGATTGGACCATAAGCTTCCCAAGTGGCAGCTAGTGGTAAAGAACCCGCCTGCCAAGGCAAGAGACTCAGGAGATGTGGGTTCAATCCCTGGGTTGGAAAGATCCCCTGGAGGAGGAGATGTCAATCCACTCCAGTATTCTTGCCTGGAGAATCCCACGGACAGAGGAGCCTGGTGGGCTACCGCCCACGGGGTCACAAAGAGTCAGATATGAATGAAGCGACTTAGCACCACACGCACGCACAAGATCCTGACAACAACTCTGTAAACGAAATCAGAAGAGGGTTGGCCTGGCTGGGACCTGGAACTGCAGCTACATATGCTGTTGATCGTGAGACTTTAGAGAGTAAATACTTTCCTAAAACTTAATTGTTCTTGATAAGTTTCATTTGCTTAAGCCCTTTGTTTGTCTCTTAAAAATGCAAACATTACTGGTAAGAGACACAAACAACATGAATTCTTATAACTTTTAAATAAAGGCTTATCATTCAATAAGGCTTCATCCCTGTGTATGGACTTACAGGATTATTGCAGAATCTGAGAGTACTGAATCTTCTGTGTCCTAGTGATGTACTCCTTCCCCCATACACACATTCCCCACCCCCCAACAAAAAAAAGGTGAGGGAGAAGAATTTGGCTAAGGAAGGATATTGGGAATATTAATACAAAATTGAAGCTGCATTTCAAAGTTTTACCCCTCTTTGGTAATGCTGTAATGATCATTGTTGAAGAAGAAGTTTTTAATGTCACTTTTTGTTTTGGAAACTAGAAAACCAATTAAAACTAGCTTCAAGAACTAGTCAAATAAAAAATAACTATATTTCTTGTTTAAAAAAATATTTTTAATGCCCACCATTAGTAAGGATATAAAAATGGAAACAAACTGATACAAATATAAAACAAATTGATAAAAATAAAATTTTAAGAGTCATTTTAAAATAAATAAATAACAAAACAGCAAAAACTTATAAACTAGAATTCTTACTTATAGGAATTTCTTTAAGGAAATTATAATGATATGTTTTCCTATATTTCCTCTTGATCTTATATGCAGGTCAAGAAGCAACAGTTAGAACTGGACATAGAACAACGGACTGGTTCCAAATTGGGAAAGGAGTACATCAAGGCTGTATACTGTCACCCTGCTTATTTAACTTATATGCAGAGTACACCATGAGAAATGCTGGGCTGGATGAAGCACAAGCTGGAATCAAGATTGCCAGGAGAAATATCAATAACTTCATATATGCAGAATGACACCNGATATGCAGATGACACCACCCTTATGGCAGAAAGTGAAGAGGAGCTAAAGAGGCTCTTGATGAAGGTGAAAAAGCTGACTTAAAACTCAACATTCAAAAACTAAGATCATGGCATCCGGTCCCATCACTTCATGGCAAATAGATGGGGAAACAATGGAAACAGTGACAGACTCTATTTTCTTGGGCTCCAAAATCACTGCAGATGGTGACTGCAGCCATGAAATTAAAAGACACTTGCTCCTTGGAAGAAAAGCAATGACAAACTTAGAGAGCATGTTAAAAAGGAGAGACATCACTTTGCCAACAGAGGTCTGTTCAGTCAAAGCTATGGTTTTTCCAGTAGTCATGTATGGATATGAGAATTGGACCGTATAGAAAGCTGAGCACCGAAGAAATTATGATATTAAACTGTGGTGTTGGAGAAGACTGTTAAGAGTCCCTTGGACTGCAAAGAGGTCAAACCAGTCAATTCTAAAGGAAATCAATTCTGAAAATTCATTGGAAGTACTGATGCTGAAGCTGAAGTTCCAATACTTTGATCACCTGATTCAAAGAGTTGAGTCATTAGAAAAGACCCTGATGCTGGGAAAGATTGAAGGCAGGAGGAGAAGGGGATGACAGAGGACAACATGGTTGGATGGAATCACCGATTCAATGGACAAGAGTTTGAGCAAGCTCTGGGAAATGGTGAAGGACAGGGAAGCCTTGTGTGCTGTAGTCCATGGGGTCGCAAAGATTGGACATGACTTAGTGACTGAACAACAATATATACAGTGGAATATTACCCAGCCATAAAAAGGAGCAAAATAGTGCCCTTTGCAAAGACATGGATGGATCTACAGATTGTCATACAGAGTAAAGTAAATCAGAAAGAGAAAAACAAATAGCATATACTATCGCTTATATTGGAATCTAGAAAAATGGTGCATATGAACTTATTTGCAAAGCAGAAATAGAGACACACTTGTAGAGAACAAACCTAGGGATGCCAAGAGGGGAAGGGGGTGGGATGAATTTGGATATTGGGATTGACTTATACCCGCTCCCATGGATACAACAGACCAGTAGTAAGAACCTACTTGATTGCACAGGGAATTCTACTCAGTGCCATGTGGTGACGTAAATGGGGAGGAAATCTTAAAAAGAGGGAATAGATTAATATGTGTGTGTATAACTGATTCACTCTGCTGTGTAGCAGAATCTAACAGAACACTGTAAAGCAACTATACTCCAACAGAAATTAACTTAACAAAACAGAAGCAAAAAGACACCTACCAGAAAAACTTCCATGGGAAACTCAATGGGGTACTGGTTGAAGGAAATTCTGATACATTTGTTGATTCTCAGAGCAACAATAGCGGTTAGAAATAGTAAGATGCTGGTGGAATTAGCTTTAGGGAGACCTAAACAGTAGTTAATTATGTTCTGAAAGAAAACAAAATTACAGAGGCTTAGGAAAGGATGTAATAATTGCCTAAAGCTAGAAAACGACACTTTCTAAATTAGTTCAAACAGAAGTCCCTGGGCAGGGTTGCTGGGCATTGAGATCTTTACCAGCATGACTAGAACAGGGAGAGCAAGTAGGTAGATATATAATTTTTTAATTTGGAAAAGATACATTAAAAGACAATAATGTCCAACAAAAAGAGAATACACTTTCTGTGTTTCAGTGTAATGGAAAGGACCCAGGAGTTCTGTTTATTAGCCTACTCTTTATTAATTTGCCCAGACCATGTATGTTTCACTTGACTTCTGGGCTGTTCTTGCATTCAGGGACAACTTTGCATTTTATATTCTTAAGATGTTTTAGGATACATGTCTGTTATGAGTTACATGATAGGGAGAATTATGATAGATACAGTTATCTAAAAGACCAAATTTTAACATAGATCGTGTTAGTTTAAAAGGCTGGGAGTAAAATGATTAATGCAACTGAGAACATGGTCCAATTGGCGCCTGCAATTAATCAAAACTGTAAATCTGGAAGAGGTGAAATTACTTCTAGGACCCTCTTGACCCAGCCGCCTATACAAGAGTCTCTTCACTTGGGTCTACTTCTTTTTGGAGGCAAGGGGAGGAGCATTCGTTACTCTGGGTGAGGGCAGAAATTACTCACGTAGAAGAAGGCGATGGGACCAGAATTGTAACTGATCATAACTCCGAAGATGCAGGTCAACTGGGACAGCATAACGTGCAGGGCTGTAGCAGCCAGGTAAGCATTGATGGCAGCCTCCGGAATGTAAGTGACAATGAAGCCAAAACCTAACATGCCCATAGACAGCTGTGGGGCGATTCAGATGGAAAAGAAAACCAGAGTGAGGAGGAATGTCATCAAACCAGCAATGGCACCACATCAGGCCATCTCCAGGCGTTCCAACAAAAAAGGTTAGCTTAGGCCCCTTTAATAACTTTCTTTAACTTACAGAATTGGGAGGGGGGCTGTGCTGGGTCTTTGCTGCTTTGCACAGGCTTTCTCTAGGTGTGGCGAGGGGAGGTTACTCTCTAGTTGCAGCGCGTGGGCTTCTCGTTGCAGTGGCTTCTCTCAGTGTGGAGCACGGGCTCTGTGTGTGTGGGCTTCGGCAGTTGTGGCACGCAGGCCCACAGTAGTTGGGCTCAGTAGTTGTTGGTGCACAGGTTTAGCTGCCCCCTGGCATGTGGAATCTTCTCAGATCGGGGATCAAATCCATGTCCCCTGCATCGGCAGGCGGATTATTTACCAGAGGGCCACCAGGGAAATCCCCTTTGATAACTCGTTTCTCTTTCCCTAATCAACTGAAATTGATGAGCTAAGAGCAGGTCCTTGGTATTGATTCAGAGGCTCCCTTACAAACATAAGACCACACTCCTTTCTTTCTCCACGTGTATGTAAGCTGACGTTCTTACCCTAGGATCTACTGATCTTGTGGATGTGGGGTAATCAGTGACAAAGTGATCAGAAGAAGACTTACCTTTTTAAAAGTCCTTTTCACTAAAATCTTCTTTAAAAATAATTTTTTTTAATTTATTTATTTTTGCGTGTGCTGAGTCTTAGTTGCTGTGTGGGCTTTTCTCTAGCTGTGGGGGCGAGGGCTTCTCATTGAGACGGCTTCCCTTGCTGCCAGTTACAGGCTCCAGGGTGCCTGGGCTTCGCTTGTTGCGGCTCCCAGGCTCTAGAGCACAAACTCTACAACTGTGGTGCACGGGCTCAGCTGCCCTGCAGCATGCGGGATCTTCCTGGATCAGGGATTGAACCTGTGTCTTCTGCATTGGCAGGCACCAGGGAAGCCCCAACGGAAGCTTTGATAGCCCTCTCTGACATGTTAACATCCCTGTGAGGAATGCAGCTTTTCGCAAAGGAAAATATTAAAACAACCTGGGCTCCAGCTTAAAGATTTGGGCCTTTGATGTTTATGAAGAACGATTAAACTGAATTTATGTCTCTAGGATTAAATATAAATATACGTAAGATAACGGTATTTGTATGTAGATGTATTTCTTAAATGCTATGTAATACACAAGCAAAGGATTTAAAAGGATAGATGCCAAGTTATTAACAGAAGTTGCCTTTGGGGAATGATTGATTAAAGGTTATGGGCAATATTTTGTAATTTATACACTCTTCTTATTAGAGATTTTTGCAATATACCTGTTCATCTTCTATAATAAAAAAAAAGTGGAAAATTATGGCTAGAGGGCAAGCTCCAATCCTCTTAGGAGGGCAGGTTAAGAAAAATGACACAGCCCAATGAAGAAGATGGGGAAAGAAAAGCAAAGTCTTGAAACCTTCTCTTGTCACTGCTTCATATTCCGCTGCACTAGGAACTCTCAGAAAACAAACTTGGAGGAACAAATCTATCAGCTTTAAGAGCTTTTTGTTTCAAAACTTTCAGTTAGTTGGGCACTTTGTCTCCCTTGATCTCCTGTCATTACTGTCCAGAGTGCTCCTTGATTCTAGTCAGGCCAATCTGTTTCCTGTCTTTTGTGTGATTGACTGATTTCTTCTGTGCTTATGCCCAAACCCCTCTTCCCTCTCTGCCAACCCAGGTTTATCATCTCTTTCAAGAGCTCAACAGAACTTTCCTGGTGGTCCAGTGCTGAGAATCTGCCTGCCAATGCAGGGGACACAGGTTTGATCCCTGCTGCAGGAGAACTCCAGAGCTGGACCTGTGTGCCTCAGCTTCTGAGCTGGCGGTCCCTGGAGCCTCTGCTCCACAACAAGAGGAGCCGCCACAATGCGAAGCCCATGCGCTGCAACTAGAGAGTAGCCTCCCCTGCTCCGCACAATTAGAGAAAGCCCACGGGCTGCAATGAAGACCCAGTGCACTCAATCAATAAACAAAAACTGTAAAAAGAGCTCAATAAAACTTCTCTCCTTCATAAAGTGTGGTACTGAGTGCGTTTGGACAAGTTTCTTAAACTCCTCGAGCCTCAGTTCCCTTCTCTATGAAATGAATAATACCCAACATGAGTGTTTTGTATGGATTACATGACAGAATACATGTAAAACACTTAGCTCAAATCTGAAAATAGTGACAGATGCAAACATATGTATCATTCATTCTCTTTTCGGGGCGGCTGCCTTGGGTCTTACTTGCGGCGCTCAGGATCTTCTTGTGTCACGGAGGATCTTCTGTTGAGGCTCAAGGACTCTCTGTTTGTGGCGTGCAGGCTCGGTTGTTGCAGCTGAGGGCTTAGTTGCTCCACGGCATGTGGGATCTTAGCTCCTCGACCAGAGGTCCAAACCTCTGTCCCCTGCATCGCGAGGTGGACCCTTAACCACTGGGAAAGTCCCTATATCACTCATTCTTCATGCCATCCCTTCCTTCGGCCTTGTAAATGGCAAATATCTATAATGAACCATAGAACTCCTCCTTACCCAGCTGTGATGTGGCATCAGAATCTGGTGTTAGCATAATTTTCTAGACATCACTGTCAATCAGTCAGAACTGGTTTGTGATATGAAACCTATCTCTGTCATCCTTATTGAAAACAGGTAGAGACATTTCCCAAATTACAATGGTTCTAACATTTTTTAATTTCGACTTTACAATGGTGTAAAAGCACTAAACATTCAGTAAAAATGGTACTTTGAATTTTGATTTCTTTTTTCTGGGCTAGCCCTGTGCAGTATGATGCTCTTCTGTGACGCTGGGCAGTGGCAGTGAGCCACAGCTCCCACTCAGCCACACAGACATGAGGGGAAACAACTCATACACTAAGAACTATTTGTACTCAGCCACTCTGTTTATCACTTTCAGTACTATATTCAACAAACTACATGAGATATCCAATACTTTATTATAAAATAGGCTTTGTATTACATGATTTTGCCCAATACAGTCTAATGTAAGTGTTCTGAGCACGTTTAAGGTAAGCCAGGCCAGGCTATGATATTTGGTAAGCTAGGTTTACTAAATGTATTTTCAACTTACAGTATTCTCAAATTACCATGGGTTTATCAGTATGTAACCCCATCATAAGTCAAGGAAGTTCTGTACCAAATGTTTGGTGAATGAAGGAAAGGTTTAGGAAATGGTTGTTTCCTTCCCGGACAACTCCATCCCAACTAAAAACTATACCTTCACTTCATATTTTTTAAATTATTTTTGGACATGCCACATGGCATGCAGGATCTTAGTTTCCTGACCAGGGATGGAACCCATGTCCTCTGCGGTGGAAGCATGGATTCTTAACCACTGGACTGCCAGGGAAAGTCCCCACTTCATATTCTTTTGACAGTGAACTCCTCACTTTTATTAATACTTGTGTGCACTTTAAGATTGTCTAGTGCACAGGTTCTAGAGGCAGACAAACAGCCTGAATCTCAGTTTGAGATCTTACTGGTTACACGATCTTGAGCAATTCACTTAACCTCTCTATACCTTTGTTTCCTTAAAACAAGTACAGAGTAATACCTACCCTCATACAGGGGGGTGTTGTGAGGACCAAATGAGGATAAGACATGTAAAGTGCTTTGAACATTGACAGCACACAGCAATAAACGTTGGTTGTTATTATTTAGTTCAGACTTTTCTAAAACTTTTTATTGTAAATAATTGTAGATTGACATGCAGTTGTAAAAAAGCAATGCAGAGATCCTGTGTACCCAGTTTTCCCCATCTTGAACAGCTACACTACATGCCACAACTAGGATAGTGACATCAAATACAGATAAGATAAAAAATAATTCCATCAACACAAGGATCTCTCCTGTTGTCCTATTGTAGCCTCTCATCTCCCATCTCTACCTTCAACCTCCATCCTCTGATCTCTACTCATTTTTAATCTCTGGCAACAACTAACCTGTTCTCCATTTCTATAATTTTGTCACTTCAAGAATCTTACATAAATGGAACCATCAGTTTGTGAACTTTCCAGTTTTTAGTTTCATTCACTTTTTCTCTTTATTATTTCCTTCCTTCTGCTTATTTTGGGTATAATTTGCTCTTATTTTTCTAGATTCTTGCAGAGGGAGCTTATATTATTAATCTGAGACTTTTTCTTTATTCTACTATATGCATTTTAGTGCTATAAATTTTCTTTTCAGCACCACTTTAGCTGTGTCCCAGAAATTTTGGTACATTTTATTTTCATTTACTTCAGTGTATTTATTTCCCTTGAAACTTCCTCTCTGACTTATGGATTGTTTAGAAGTGTGTTGTTAAGTGTCCAGGAATTTGGAGACTTTCCTGTTAACTCTTTGTTATTGAGTTCTAGTTTGATTCCAATGTGGTCAAAGAACACACTGTTTGACTTCAATTCTTCTAAATTTATTGATGCTTGTTTTATAGCCCAGGATGTGGTCTATCTTGCTGTATGTTCCATGTGTTGTTGAAAAGAATGTGTATTCTGCTGTTACTAGTTGGAGTATTCTATAAATGTCTTGAGTCCTATTGGTGTTGTTGATGTTTTGAATTTTACTATATCCTTGTTGATTTTGTGTCCAGTTGTTCTATCAATTGTTGAGAGAGGAGTGGTGAGGTCTCCAACTGTAATTGTGGAGTTGTATTTGTCTGTGTCTCCATTCCAGTTATGTCACTTCTTGCTTCACACATTTTGGGGCTCTGTCATTTGCTGCAGACATATGTAGGTCTGCAACACCTTCTTGGAAGAGCAAGGCTTTTATTATTATGTGCTGTCCTTCTCTACCTCTGGTAATTTTCTTGGCTCTGAAGTCTGCTTTATCTGTTATTAATATAGTCAATCCTGCTTTCCTTTAATATTTGCATGATATATCTATTTTTTTAACTTTCAACCTAATCATTATTTTTGTTGTTTCTTGCAGACAGCATATTTCTAAATATTTAGTCGATACCTTTAATGTAAATGTTGGTGTGTTAAGGGTTAAGTCTGCCATTTTTCTGTTTGCTCTACTTTTCTTTTTTTTTTTCCATTTATTTTTATTCATTGGAGGCTAATTACTTTACAATATTGTAGTGGTATCTGCCATACATTGACATGAATCAGCCCTGGATTTACATGTGCTCCCCATCCTGATCCCCCAACCCGCATCCCTCCCCATCCCGTCCCTCTGGGTCTTCCCAGTGCACCAGCCCTGAGCACTTGTCTCATGCATCCAACCTGGGCTGACGATCTCTTTCACCCTTGATAGTATACTTGTTTCAGTGCTGTTCTCTCTGAACATCCCACCCTCGCCTTCTCCCATAGCATCTAAAAGTCTGTTCAGTACATCTGTCTCTTTTTCTGTCTTGCATATAGGCTTATCATTACCATCTTTCTAAATTCCATATATATGTGTTAGTATACTGTATTGGTGTTTATCTTTCTGGCTTACTTCACTCTGTATAATGGGCTCCAGTTTCATCCATCTCATTAGAACTGATTCAAATGTATTCTTTTTAATGGCTGAGTAATATTCCATGGTGTATATGTACCACAGCTTCCTCATCCATTCGTCTGCTGATGGGCATCTAGGTTGCTTCCATGTCCTGGCTATTATAAACAGTGCTGCGATGAACATTGGGGTGCACGTGTCTCTTTCAGATCTGGTTTCCTCGGTGTGTATGCCCAGAAGTGGGATTGCTGGGTCATATGGCAGTTCTATTTCCAGTTTTTTAAGAAATCTCCACACTGTTCTCCATAGTGGCTGTACTAGTTTGCATTCCCACCAACAGTGTAAGAGGGTTCCCTTTTCTCCACACCCTCTCCAGCATTTATTGCTTGTAGACTTTTGGATAGCAGCCATCCTGACTGGCGTGTAATGGTACCTCATTGTGGTTTTGATTTGCATTTCTCTGATAATGAGTGATGTTGAGCATCTTTTCATGTGTTTGTTAGCCATCTGTATGTCTTCCTTGGAGAAATGTCTGTTTAGTTCTTTGGCCCATTTTTTGATTGGGTCATTTATTTTTCTGGAGTTGAGCTGGAGGAGTTGCTTGTATATTTTTGAGATTAATCCTTTGTCTGTTGCTTCGTTTGCTATTATTTTCTCCCAATCTGAGGGCTGTCTTTTCACCTTGCTTATAGTTTCCTTTGTTGTGCAAAAGCTTTTAAGTTTCATTAGGTCCCATTTGTTTATTTTTGCTTTTGTTTCTAAAATTCTGGGATGTGGGTCATAGAGGATCCTGCTGTGATTTATGTCGGAGAGTGTTTTGCCTATGTTCTCCTCTAGGAGTTTTATAGTTTCTGGTCTTACATTTAGATCTTTAATCCATTTTGAGTTTATTTTTGTGTATGGTGTTAGAAAGTGTTCTAGTTTCATTCTTTTACAAGTGGTTGACCAGTTTTCCCAGCATCACTTGTTAAAGAGGTTGTCTTTTTTCCATTATATATTCTTGCCTCCTTTGTCGAAGATAAGGTGTCTGTAGGTATGTGGATTTATCTCTGGGCTTTCTATTTTCTTCCATTGATCCTGTTTGCTCTACTTTTCATCTTTTTATTTTTTCTGATTTCACACATTACTTGAACATTTTTTAGAATTTCATTTTTATTTATCTATAGAATTTTTGAGTGTATAGGTTTTGAAGTGATTGTCCTAGGTATTACATTATATATACATAACTTATCACAGTCCACTGATATAAACATTTTACCAGTTTGAGCAAATTATAGAAAATTTACCTCCCATTATGTTTGTTTATAAAAGAATGGTTTTAAATATTTCTTTCATATGCATTTTGAACCACATCAGTGATACAATTTTTGCTTCAACCATTGACATATTTAGAAAACTTACGAAAACAAAGAAAACTACCATATCTATCCATGTTTTCCCTTTTCCATTGTTCTTTCTTCCTACTAGATGTTCCAAGATGCCTTCTTTTATCATTTCCTTTCTGTTTAGAGAACTTCTTTTAGCCATTCTTTTAGGGTAGGTCTTGCTGGTGATAAATTCTCTTAGTTCTCCTTCATATGAGTATGTCTTGATTTCTCCTTCATTCTTGAAGGCTATTTTCAGAAATGCTGGGCTGTATGAAGTACAAGCTGGAATCAAAATTGCCAAGAGAAATATCAATAACCTCAGATATGTAGATGATACCACCCTTATGGCAGAAAGTGAAGAAGAACTAAAGAGCCTCTTGATGAAAGTGAAAGAGGAGAGTGAAAAAGTTGGCTTAAAGCTCAACATTCAGAAAACTAAGATCATGGCATCTGGTCCCATCACTTCATGGCAAATAGATGGGGAAACAGTGGAAACAGTGGCTGACTTTATTTTTCTGGGCTCCAAAATCACTGCAGATGGTGATTGCAGCCATGAAATTAAAAGACGCTTACTCCTTGGAAGGAAAGTTATGACCAACCTAGACAGCATATTAAAAAGCAGAGACATTACTTTGCCAACAAAGGTCCATCTAGTCAAGGCTATGGTTTTTCCAGTGGTCATGTATGGATGTGAGAGTTGGACTGTGAAGAAAGCTGAGCGCCGAAAAATTGATGCTTTTGAACTGTGGTGTTGGAAAAGACTCTTGAGAGTGCCTAGGCCTGCAAGGAGATCAAATCAGTCCATCCTAAAGGAAATCAATCCTGAATATTTATTGGAAGGACTGATGCTGAAGCTGAAGCTCCAATACCTTGGCCACCTGATGCGAAGAGCCAACTCGTTAGAAAAGACCCTGATGTTGGGAAAGATTGAAGGCAGGAGAAGGGGATGACAGATGACAAGATGGTTGGATGGCATCACCGACTCAACGGATATGAGTTTGAGCAGCTCTGGGAGGTGGTGAAGGACAGGGAAGTCTGGTGTGCTGCAGTCAGACACAACTGAACAACAACAATAATGATTTTTGGATTGACGGTTCTTTCAGCAAATGTTCAATTTCCTTCTGGTCTATATGGTTTCGGATAAGAAATTTGCTGTCATTTAAATTATTTTCTCACTGAAGGTAAAGTGTTTCTCTCACTACTTTCAAGATTTTTTTCATTGTTTTTAGTTTTCAGACATAGAGTATGATTTGTCTTGGTGTGGATTCCTATGGATTTATCTTGTTTGGGATTTTCCAAGGTTCTTAAAACTGTAAAAGTATATCTTCTGTCAAATTTGGGGCACTTTCAGCTATTAGTTCTTCAAGTAATTCAGTCCCATCTTTTTTCCCCTCCCTTTCTGGGATGCTTATGAGACACAAATGTTAGAGCTTCTGTTATAGTCCCACTTGTCCCTGAGATTATGTTAAATTTTTTTCAGTCTATTTTCTATTGTTCAGACTGAGTAATTTCTGTTGTTGTTTCTTCAAGCTCATTGATTCTTTACTCTGTCTCCTCCATTTTACTGTCGAGTCCATTCTTTGAATTTTTAATTTTGGTTAATATATTTTTCAGCTCTAAAATTTCTGTTTGGTTCTTCTTTACATCTTCTATTTACTTTTTGAGACCTTCTATTTTTTTACTTTGTTTCAAGCATATTCATAATTGGTTGCTGAAGCATTTTTAGGATGGCTGCTTTATAATTTATGCCAGATAATTCTAACCCCTCTCATCTCAGTGCTGGCATCTTTTTATTGCCTTTTTTCATTAAAGTTGAAATGTTCTTGGTTCTTGATATGACAAGTTATTTTCAGTTCAGCTATTGACATTTCATGTACTGTGCTATAAGATTCTGGATTTTACTGAAATGTTCTGTTTTAGCCACCTTATTTTGATAAAGTGCTGACAGGGGAAGGTGTTACCTTGTTACTGCCTGGTAAGGTAGAAGTCCAGGTTCTCCTCTTAAAATCCACTGACACCTGAGGCAGTAGGGACTCTTCATTTTTACTGGGAGGAGATGGAAGTTCTGGCTCCCCACTAGGCCTCCACTGATACCATCCTGACTGGGAGAGACAGAAATGCCTTTATTTCTCCCTGCATGGCCTCCACTGACACTGCTACAGAGGGGGTTGTCATCATTAATGCTGTGTTGTGGTGAAAGAACTGACTCTTCACTGGGCCTTCTCTGACACACCCCAGCAAGGAGTAGGAAGAGAAGCTTATTACTATCCAGTGGAGATGAAAGTCTCGACTCCCTATTTGGCCTTCTCTGACAACACCCTGGGTAGCTACCTCATTACAGCTGGGTGAAGGTGGAAATCTGGGCTCCCCACTTGGCCACACACTGGCATGAGTAGGGATAACACCACAGAGTTTTTTTTTTTCTTGGTATTTGTCTAGAGTAGAGCAGTTACTGGGTTAACGTTTTCAGAATTGCTACTCTTTCCTAGTCCTGTGGCTATACAGAACAGACTTTTGTTGGGACTTTTTCTTTTGGTCTGCCCCATTGGCATTTTGGCTCTCTGGCTTCTTTTGCACCAAGTCTAAGGTGTACGGGGCAAAAAGAAAACCCAGGGAACTCTCCACTGTGTTGTTCCTTGGGTCTGAGCCAGTTTGTTGTCTTCTCTCCACCTTTCAGAGCCTTCTTATGTTTGGTTTGTATATAACTTTCCAAATTTTTCAGTTGTTCTTAGGAGGAGGAATAGGGAAAAGTACATATAGTCTATCTTCCTGTAAATGGAATATCTTCTCCTTTGTTATATGAAAAAAGTGATGCTCAAACATGGAAAAAGGAAAAAGAACATGCCAAGGCTACTTATAATTAATAGATTGCTGACTTGATGCCTGTTATTCTGTCTTCTCCTACAAGACTGACTTTTTAAAACATGGGTATTATATCTTTAAAAACATTTTTTTGGTCTCTATTAAAGTACCAACTTCTTTTCTCTGTACTCTGTAATTATAACTTATTAATACTTATTATGTGACAGGCTCTGGGCTGAATGTTTTACATACATTTTCTTACTTAATCCTTACAAGAATTCTGCAATACAAATATTATTATTCCCATTTTAAACATGAAGAAACTGAGGGCTGCAAGTAAGTCATGCAGTTGGTAAGAGTCAGAGCTGGGGTCGGCCCACCAGGATAGCTTGCCTTTGTAGGCTCCCAATAAGTTTTTACCTAATAAAGGATGGCTTTGGGGAAATCAGAGAAGGTTAGCTAGAGCTGGGTTAGCTGAGAAGACAGAGAAATAAAGCTGGAATATATGACTTTAGTTCAGTCAGTGATGCTTTAGATGGTAGATTCTCAGAAGAAATCAAAGACACTGCCCAAAATAACATTGGATATTTTAACAAATCATTGATATCATCATCCATTAGCTGTGTCCTGTCATTGTAGAGAAAGGATTTTACATCTGACTCTAATGTCCACTAACAAAAAACACATTATGTGAGCCCACGAGTGCTATTCTTGGTGAAAGAATATAAAGGAATTTTTTAAAACATGAAATCATGAGTAGAACTCTAGGCCACAGTCCCTGAGACCCTTCTCTTATTTTTAGATTCTTTTGATATAGACCATTATCAAAGTCCTTATTGAATTTGTTACAATATTGCTTCTGTTTCAGTTTTCGGTTTTTTGACCAGGAGGCATGCAGGATCCTAGCTCCCTCACCAGGGATTGAACTCGCACCTCCTGCATTGGAAGGTGAAGTCCTAACTACTGGACTACCAGGGAAGTCCTATTTGGACGCTTGTTTAGTCTTATAGTAGTACAGATTGAGGAGAATGTTGGCTATCTCATCCTCAACCAGGGGTGGTAGATTTCTGGGGAGGGAGAAGTTTTGTCACTGAGGAGTCAGTCTATCCATACGTCCCATAAGTTTTGGAAAAAAGTGAAAATCACTTAAATTCCAGATATATCACAATGGGTAACAGAAGCAGTTCAAGGAAAGGATTCATGTACAGCCCCTTTATTTATTTCTTTTTCCTTCAGGGATTCAGAGACTCAGGACCTACCTGAATAATCCCAGTCAGCAAAGTTACAGATGCCACAGAACTCAAGGATTTGTTATAGTTCTCAAAGAAGGACATGTTAGAAAAGTCATCCTGGATGAAGGTTCCCAGTAATAAGTGGCCACTGTTGAATGGCTGTGTCCTGAGGACATTGATTGTCAGAGCACTCACAAGGAAGAATGTACCTATGAAAGAAAAAGGTTAGGCAGAGGCTGAGGTTTTAAGTCCAGGTAAACTGACAGATGTTGACAAAGGCAAAACATGGTCTCATACATTGTCGATCTGATCAACTTTTCCTATCTGAAAGTGGCCACTGAGAAGTAAGAAAGAGGAGGGAAAAGCTCTCTGGTTTCACATACTGTAACCAACTCTGAAATTTTAGATCTTTTAGGCCTAGGTAACAACCTCTTTGTATCAATGGGCATATGGAGTAGGAAGAAAGAGAAACTGACTGGAAATGTATATCTGGCTCAGCTACTGTGCCTGTTCTTAGAAATGGTGAAAAATGAGATGGTGGGAAAAGGATCAGAAAACAAAGCTAATCAATAATAATAAGAAAAACAATACCTAAACACTTAAGAAGGATTTAATAGGTGCAAAATGACATGGAGCTAAACCTGTTTCAAACAAAATTTTATTTATTTCTCATATCAACATGAATGCGGGAGGCAAAGGCAAATTTTACCTTTAAATTCCTAACAGAAGCAAAACTCTAGTAGCCCTTGTTATTAGTATTTGGAAGTGACTGTAATGAGCTCTGAGAACTTGGAGTAATTGGAATAAAACAGCTGTTTTAGTGTTTAAATGCAAAAATCAACAGACACTAAATTTTAGTAAAGATGTGGAATATTGTCCTTAAAAAGGCACAGGTGCATGCCACAGAATGGGATGGCAGCTGGACTGAATATACAAACAAAGCTGGAGAAAAAAGAGTGCCAGTCAGAATGGTCAACGTTGGTTGCCTGGTCAGTTGTTCAGCGTGGAAGCTCAGAAAAAGGCACTTGACTCGTGAACACTGGCGATGCCCTTCTGAGACTGTCAGGGCATTGTGTGGTTTGATTTCTATTCAGGTTCACCCAGGGGAAGTAATTGTGCTGATCACAGGACCTTCAGTTGGGTCTGGTCTCTGCAACAGTCATTTCAAATTATAAATTAGTAGATGGATCTTTGACTCAGGGAAGAAAAGTGCTTACCCTGTGGGTTTCAGTGTTTTTATTACTATGATAACATTTTCTCAATGTAAATTAATAATTTGATATGATTATTATAAATCAGGTTCATGGAGTATGGTTATTATGGGTTCAGCTGAAAAGTGGATCCATTCCAGGAGTTTTGGCAAAATCACTTCTGGATCTTCTTGGTCGAGGATAATCAGATTCCAAAGTATGGAAATTTCAGCAAGGAAGACGCCTCTTGTCCTTTCATTCCTTTAATAACTCATGGGCCTGGTAGGGACATTAATAACTCATGTCTGGTAGGGACATTAATAACAGCACAAAAGTGTTCAGTTTCTAAAACCTGAACACTAACCCTGTGAATAGAATATCCCTGTGACTGATTCATGCCGATGTATGGCAAAACCCACCACAATATTGTAAAGTAATTAGCCTCCAATTAAAATGAATAAATTATAAAAAAAGAATATCCATTTTTTTGCCTCTTTTCTTTATATGTTAAACATAGCTTTAACTTGAGTTCCTTAGCAATAAGTAAACAATCAAGATGGAGACTTCATACACCTCCTGTGATTCTAGCACTGAACTCACCAATGGACATTTGATGACATGATCCAAAAATTCCATAAATTACTGAAGCACAGAAAGCTGCATAAGAGACATTGAGAGGAGGAATCAGATGCCTTGCCAGCAAACCAAGCATCAGGACTGAAAAGCAAGATAATTTAAGTAAGCAAAGGTAGTCTGGCTTTTTAAAGTCACCTGAAATACAAAATGTAAAGAATATTTAAAATAAAAATGACCCATGTACACAGCTGAATATGGTAACAGTATCCTTTGGCATACAGCCCTTAATTAGTACTTTTTATGATCTGCTTTGATTTCTAGCTTCTCTTCCTATTTTATCACATGTTTTTACACTTCAATTCTAAATCATAGGCTTAAACACCTTTCATGTGAATCATGGAAAGCAAACATCAAAGCAGTAAGACCTTTAATCTCAACAGCCCAGAAGCAGACCATTCTCACCCTCAGTCTAGTATAAGAAGGCCCTTGGAATCCTCCAAGGTTGGAGATAAAGCTAGAGGGCAAAGCAAGAATTGTCACACTTAACTGACTTGACTCCAAGTTGGTATGTGTTGTCTTTCTTTCATATGCCAATCACTCCAGCATCTTCCTTCAGCTCCTTCTTCAGTACTTAATTTCTTTTCTAAGAAGCACTGTGAGATTTTGGAAATTTTGAGGCAAATGGACTGACCTACATGGTGTCATCCTTTGATGTCTTAAGTCCACAACTCCTGCCCTGAGCAACTCTCTTCAATTTACATCATACCAGTGTGATCATCAGAAATCGATTACGAGTCTAGTGAGCCAAATTTATTGTCCTAAACAGGCAAGGCTTTTTAAATAGAAAAGTTTAAACCTATACATAAATAAAGTATAATGAACCCCCAAACACCCATCACCCACTTCAACGACGGTCAACTCATGGCCAATCTTGTTTCATCAATGTCCTCATTCCTCTCCCATCCCATAATTATTTTGAGGCAAATCCAAAACATTAAGTCATTTCATCTGTAGATATTTTCAGTATATATGTTTTAGAAAAAGGCCCTCTTTTAAGTACAATACCATCATCACACCTAAGAAACTAATAATGGTTCTTTACCATTATCAAACATTCAATATTCAAATTTCCCTGATTTCTCAAATATAGTTGTACTTGTAGACAATTTGTAAGATGATCTACAATGACTGATTGGTACTTATGTCCTTGAGTGAGTTTCACCCCTTAAGTGTGAAATAACTCACTTCTTTTTTAAAAATTCATTTATTATTGCTTCTCGGCCTTTTGGCTAAGATCAAGTGTAAAAATTCATTTATTTTAATGGAGGTTAATTACTTTACAATATTGTAGTGGTTTTTGCCATACATTGACATGAATCAGCCATGGGTGTACATGAGTCCCCATCCTGAACCCCCCTCCCACCTCCTTCCCCATCCCATCCCTCAGGGTCATCCCAGTACACCAGTCCTGAGCACCCTGTCTCATGCATCGAACCTGGACTGGCAATCTGTTTCACATATGATAATATACAAGATTCAATGCTATTCTTTCAAATCATCCCACCCTCGCCTTCTCCCACGGAGTCCAAAAGTCTGTTCTTTACATCTGTGTCTCTTTTGCTGTCTCGCATATAGGGTCATCATTACCATCTTTTGAAATTCCATATATATGTGTTAATATACTGTATTGGTGTTTTTCTTTCTGACTTACTTCGCTCTGTATAATAGCCTCCAGTTTCATCCACCTCATTAGAACTGATTCAAATGCATTCTTTTTAATAGTTGAGTAATATTCCATTGTGTACATGTACCACAGCTTTCTTATCCATCCTTCTGCTGATGGGCATCTAGGTTGCTTCCATGTCCTGGCTATTACAAACAGTGCTGTGATGAGCATTGGGATACACGTGTCTCTTTCAATTCTGGTTTCTGCAGTGTGTATGCCCAGGAGTGGGATTGCTGGGTCATATGGGAATAACTTACTTCTATTAATAATAAATAGGCTACAACAAAAATGATAAGATGTCACTTTTGAGACTGGGTTGCAAGAAGACTGTGTTTTCTGTCTTCACTGCTCTCGGGCTCTCTCTTTCATTCAGGTCACCAGCTGCCAAAGTTGACTTCAAGGGCATGTTACCTAGGCAGTCACAGAGTATCTTGGGCTTAGAAGGCTCCATGCTTGGCTTAATGCTCTACTCTGATCATCTTAAAATACTGGATGATTTTTGAACTAGGGAATCTGCATTTGCAACTTGCACTGGGCCTCACACGTCAGTTGTTCCTGCCAGAGGCCATGTTGTGAGGACACTCAAGCAGCCACGTAGACGCCCATATGGTGAAAATACCAAACCTGCCAGCAAACAGGAGTGGGCCTGGGAGCTGAGCTGGCAGCCTCGGAAGAGCCTTGAGAGGAATGACAGTTTGACTGCACCCTTATGCGAGACCTTGAGCCAGAGGTACGGCAGGTTTGGGGTGATCTTTAAAAAAAAAGTTATTTGCTATTACATGGTTGCTATACTTTTTTTTTTTTTTTAACAAACTTTGTGCTTACATCAAATGAAGCCCTCACATTAGTTGATACACCTCTTAAGTCTTTTGTAATTTATGGTTCCCCTTCCACATTTTCCCCCTAAGCAAGTCTCTATTGACTGCAAATAACGGAAAACCAGTTCAAATCAGCTTGAGCAAAATAGGGAAAAAAATTTTGCCTGAACAGCATGGTTTGCTGGATCTTAGTTCTCTGACCTGAGCTGGACCTGAGGCTCACGGCATTGAAAGCACTGAGTCCTAACCACTGGACCACCAGGGAATTTCCAAAATAGGAAATATATCAAAAGAGGACAAAGGTCAGTTGGACCTCATCAGAGGCTGGAAGCAGAACTAAATAGCCATCAGGATCCAGGCAGCTATTTCCCCATTCTCTTTGTCTACAGGCTTATAGTCTCCTGTTTTGTTCCCAGTTTGGGGGCCTCTATGAACAAAACTTCCATGTGCATTCTTGTACATGACTCTAGGTGCATAAGTGGATAAATTCCCTCGAGATGATACGCCCTGAAGCATAACTGCTGGGGCATTTAACAGAATATGTGAAACTGTTTTCCAAAGGGTTGTACAATTTAGATTCCCACCAAAACTATGAAAATTCTCATACAAATTTACATCTGTATTATCACATGATACTATCAGAATTTTTATTTCAGTGCGTATGAGTTAGTTAATTTCCACTTCTACTTCATTTATTACCAATAATGGTCAATCTTATTGTGTAGTTTCTTATAGATTTGTAGGAATATATATATATATAGCTCCATGCTTGGCTTAATGCTCTACTCTGATCATCTTAAAATACTGGATGATTTTTGAACTAGGGAATCTGCATTTGCAACTTGCACTGGGCCTCACACGTCAGTTGTTCCTGCCAGAGGCCATGTTGTGAGGACACTCAAGCAGCCACGTAGACGACCATATGGTGAAAATACCAAACCTGCCAGCAAACAGCAGTGGGCCTGGGAGCTGAGCCGGCAGCCTCAGAAGAGCCTTGAGAGGAATGACAGTTTGACTGCAACCTTATGCGAGACCTTGAGCTAGAGGTACGGCAGGTTTGGGGTGATCTTTAAAAAAAAAGTTATTTGCTATTACATGGTTGCTATACTTTTTTTTTTTTTAACAAACTTTGTGTTTACATCAAATGAAGTCCTCACATTAGTTGATATACCTCTTAAGTCTTTTGTAATTTATGGTTCCCCTTCCACATTTTTCCCCTAAGCAAGTCTCTATTGACTGCAAGTAACAGAAAACCAGTTCAAATCAGCTTGAGCAAAATAGGAAAAAAAATTTTGGCTGAACAGCATGGTTTGCTGGATCTTAGTTCTCTGACCTGAGCTGGACCTGAGGCTCACGGCATTGAAAGCACTGAGTCCTAACCACTGGACCACCAGGGAATTTCCAAAATAGGAAATATATCAAAAGAGGACAAAGGTCAGTTGGACCTCATCAGAGGCTGGAAGCAGAACTAAATAGCCATCAGGATCCAGGCAGCTATTTCCCCATTCTCTTTGTCTACAGGCTTATAGTCTCCTGTTTTGTTCCCAGTTTGGGGGCCTCTATGAACAAAACTTCCATGTGCATTCTTGTACATGACTCTAGGTGCATAAGTGGATAAATTCCCTCGAGATGATACGCCCTGAAGCATAACTGCTGGGGCATTTAACAGAATATGTGAAACTGTTTTCCAAAGGGTTGTACAATTTAGATTCCCACCAAAACTATGAAAATTCTCATACAAATTTACATCTGTATTATCACATGATACTATCAGAATTTTTATTTCAGTGCGTATGAGTTAGTTAATTTCCACTTCTACTTCATTTATTACCAATAATGGTCAATCTTATTGTGTAGTTTCTTATAGATTTGTAGGAATATATATATATATATTCATATATATATTATAGATTTAAGTCCTTTGTTGGATGTTCTATGGTTTGCTTTTCAATCTTCATTGTGTATTTTTTTTTTTTTTTAATTTTGGCTGCACTGGGTCTTCATTGCAGCCCTGAAGCTTACAGGATCTTAGTTCCCCAACCAGGGATCAAACCCACATCCCCTGCATTGGAAGATGGAGTCTTAACCACTGGACTACCAAGGAAGTCCCCATCATGTCTTTGAATAAAACAGAAGTTCTTAAGTTTTATTTAATTCAACTTTGCAGTCATTTCCTTTTAGGCTAGTGCTTTTTGTGCCTTGTTTAAGAAACATTTTCTACCTCAAGTCCATAAAGATATTCTCCTCTAATATTCAAAAAAAGTCTTTATAGTTTTGTCTTTCATATTTAGGTCTTTAATCTACCAGGAATAGATTTTTGTGTATGGGTGAGGTAGGGGTCTAAAAAATTTTTTTCATATAAATATTCAATTTATATGAAATATTCTGTTCCACATCATTTTTAAAAAACCTATTTCTATAGTGGCACATCTGATACAAACCATGCAATGTATATATGTGTGACTCTTCTGTTCCACTGGCCTAATTGTCCATTTCTATAATACCACACTGTTTAATTACATTTTTTAATAATTAGT